TTTTTAAAACGTAATTAGTTACCAGGTATTAAAAAGTAATGATTACTTTGTTTTTTAAATACTTTTTTAGATTTCAAATGTGTAAAAATAATTTTGAATTTTTTGCTCTTTGGTTGACCAAATATTATTTATCAATATAAGTGTTGTTAATATACTTTCTATTCATATTAATTACTTTCGCATCAGCACCAAAAAGTTTCCTAAATCAATTAACTAAGYAAATTGCTTTCGAGCATTTCTTGAAAATTTGATGGCTTATTACTTTTTGTTAGTAAGCACGTGTATTCCAGGCTGTTAACCTGTTAAAAAATATTTATTTATATATACATATATGTATGTACATATACGTATATATATATTTATAAATATATTAATTGCATTTATACAATATTGTCAAAAACCGGTACGTGTTCCAAAAACAGTAGTCAATGGCAATGAACGCTAGACGAGCAAGCGCTGACCGGTTGTGCTGCATTTGGCTGCGTCAATTTCAAATATAATATTCTTCCAATTAATTTATAATAAAAAAAAAAAAACAATTTCAAAAATGCTTCTTCGAAGAAAAAGTTACAAATATTCCACTGAGACCGCCCAGAAGGTTTACAATGATGCACAATAAAAACTGTTATTTTAATTATACCGTCATATACTATATTCAACCTCGGTTCTTTTSACAAAATATTTCCTATCCACATTAGAAATGCAATAGAATGTGCACACATRTTTCGCTRAAGCTCTTGCGGAGCTGCGACAAACTCAAGTCACTTAAATCTAATTCGTAAATGTTAGCAAGCGTCTTCAAATCTAATTTGAGTACTACTACGAGCCGTTCTAAAATCTACGTCTAACACCGGGAACGTTGCCRTTGTCGCCGACAGCGCTGCAATTCTGGCAATTGTACGACGCGCGTCATACCGACCTTCAACTGCCCTCGTTGTGTGCGCCCACCGATTGAGCGAGAGTTCGCCTGTTTGTACCGCCGGTTTTCAAGTAGTCGCTCACTGTCGCCCACCCTCAGGCTGTTCAATTACATATACATACGCACACGCTTATTTACATATGCATCTGGAAATTCTGGTATTATACGAGTACCTATGCTGGCAAAATGCTAAAATTCGCAAAAAAATGTTTGAACGTAAATATGTGTTTTATTATGATTTTTTTGTTTGCGTTTTTTCCATTTTTATTTGTATTTAGTTATGAATATGCGTAGAGCCCGGCTCGGTTTGACAAACAACAAACTCTATTTATCTTGTTTAATAGATCATTTKCATTGACGGTAATGAACGGGATTTGAGACTCAACTGTTAAATCTATGTAGATCCAGACCTATGATTCAGAATTAGCGACGTAAACAAGTGCATATACAAATAAGTTGTTTTTACTACACAATATTCATTCACCTCATCTTTGGCATCTATCTTGTTTTTATTGTAAATATTATATAATTCAAGAGAATACTGTTTTCCTTTCTTGAACATAGAAATATCAACTACGTCGAGAAAAGCAAATTAATATTTTTTGTGGTATTATTTCTATTTTAAATACTAAATTACTTGTTACAACGTAATGATTACTTTTTGATTAGTTGAAAGCAAGTAGGTGGTTTATGTTACTATAATTTAAAATCAGTTTTCGAATATATAAAAAAAAGCAATTAGAATTCTTTTATATAGTTTGAAAGTAATGATTACATTTAAGATTACATTTTCATTACCTAAAATCAAATTTAATCTATTTCAAAAGCCAAATCATTAAGCAGCTTCGAAGTTAACTAAATAATTATAAAAGTAATGRTTACATTTGTGAATACGTTTTCAATACCTAAATTAAAATCAAATTTGATGTATTTCAAAAACTTAACTATCAAGCAGTTTCGAAGTTGACYAAATTTTCGTGAGAGTAATGATTATATTTGGGATTGCAATTTGATTACCTGCGACTAAATTTGTTTTAATTCAAATACTAAACTATTAAGCAGCTTTAAAGTTACTTAAATATTCTTTAAAAGCAATGATTACATGTATAACATTTTAATTACCTAAAATCAGATTTAATGTATTCAAAATCTAGGTTATAAAGCAGCTTTGAAGTTAATTAAATATTCGTAAAAGTAATGATTATATTTGTGATTACATTTTGATTACTTGGGATTGGAATGCCCTTCAAAAAGTAAACTATTAAACGGGTTACAAGTTAATTAATAATAATATTCGACTACATGTAATTTTATTTTGATTACCTACGATCGAATTTAATGTATTTTAAAAACTAAACCATCARCAGCTTCGAAGTTAATTGAATATACGTAAAAGTAATGATTACATTKSTGATTACACTTTGATTACCTACAATCAAATTTAATGATTTCATAAACTAGATTATAAAGCAGCTTTGAAGTTAATTTATTATTTGTAAAAGTAATGATTACAGTGAATTACATTTTAATAACCTAAGATAACATTTATTGTATTTAAAAAACTAAACTATTATCAGTTTTTAAGTTTATGAAAAATATTCGTTTCGTGTAAAGTAATGATTACTTTCGTATTTACCTAARATCAAATTTAATGGATCTCAGAAACGAGATTATAAAGAGCTTTGAAACTAATTAAATATTCGTTGAAGTAATGATTACATGTAATAACATTTTAATTACCTTAGATAAAATTAAGTGTATCTCAGAAACTACAGTATAATACAGCTTTGATTATTTAATTGATTTATGGAATTAATACAAATTACATTGCTTTTAATGCAAATGGTTTACTTTT